GAGACCTTCAATTTGCACCGCTTCTTGGAATAGCCCGTCCCCTACTTGCCAAGAAATGGCAAGAGGCGTCTGGACCCGAAATTTCAATTTTTTTGGCTCTCGCTCTCAATCAGATACTTCGCTCTCAATCAGGCGAATATGTTGTTTAGCTGTGTTTCCGCGTCATCGCAATCACGTTTTGTCTCAATGGTGGTGTGGGGGGTCGAGTCGGGATATTCTTACAGCTCCTCTTTCCTTTGGATACACTTGTGAGGAGTCATATCTTTCGATTCATGATCCTAGATCATCAGCTATTAGTAGCCTAAGGATTTGAGTATAGAATCTGAATAGATGATCTTCAGGGTGGGTTGGTGTAGTCTTGCTGTATGGCACAGATAGGGTACACAGTCGATCTAGATTAAGATGGGGGACGCCAGGAGGTATACCCTCTTAGGACGTACCCGATCGGGACTTAGCTATCTGCGTGCCCCCAGGTTGAGGGCAATCCGCCTCACCTCAGACCTGTGGCAGACCCGCTTCTGCAATAACAAGCAACCTTCCCATCTCAACGTGCTCGTGGACAAGAGTGTCTACGGCAGAATCTACATATACTACATCTAGGAGGCAAGCCACCGTCGGGCGGGCATTCCTTTAAACGTGCGTGTAGTTTGTTGCCCAAAAAAAAACAAAAATGACGCCAGCCGGGGAGGCGTCCATGTGACATATATATTTGCACAAACGGTGTGCTATCTCGAGACACCGACCACGGATTGCAAAGGTAGCGGTTGGGACAGCTCGGGCAAAATGTTACTTCTTGCGCGCAAGTTTTATTTGGTGCCGAGATGGTGAAATGGGCTCGAGTCTGCTGGGTATTTAGGGCGCGCAGACACCAGACACCAGACACCAGACACCAGACACCAGACACCAGACAGACAGCCATCGCGTAATTTTCACGCCCCTCCCTGTGCATGAAATTATTATTTTTCTCGTGCGCACATACTCCACACACGATCCCTCTAAACAGCTACTTTTTTGCGAAACAAAACAAAAAGCGTACCGCTAACGGGCCACACTTTTCACGAAACAAAAAACCTATTATGAAAGAATACACGAACAGGTTTGAATCCCGGGCTGATCACTTTACGAAAAGCACCATAGTTCTGTTTTCGGCAGCGCCTGGCGAGGGGTCCATCCCCGGAGATCTCTACTCACAGCCCGGGATTCTACGAGCCGAGAGTGTATCTTTTGATAGTAAAGACTTACCCATTAGACTACTCAATTAGCGCTGACTGAGTAGTCTAATGTGTAAGCCTTTATCAACCAAAAGATACACGCACAGGTTCGAATCCCGGGCTGATCACTTTACGAAAAGCACCATAGTTCAATTGTCGGCAGCGCCTTGCGAGGGGTCCGTCCCCGGAGATCTCTACTCACAGCCCGGGATTCTACGAGCCGAGAGTGTATCTTTTGATAGTAA